ACAACCAGCTTAAAATCAACATGCAAAAAAAAAAATAAAAAAAAAAATCAACACACCAAGTGCAAAACTTTGGTCCTCTTCATCCCCACCTTTGAAATTTTAAAGAAAAGTTTTAGATCCACAAGCTAAATTACTAGATTGTTCCATATTTCACTGATATAATCATTTAGTCTTGAGAATAACTTAGTTTAGTTAAATTGTTAAAACTTTATTTCAGGAAACGGTGACGTTAATGTACTCCCAAAATTTACCTATTATTAAATGTCTGATTATTTGCTTATGAGGGAAAAGAACAAACTTCCCTCTAACCTCAAGGTTCTATTTCCTGATCTAATCAAATATATATGAGACAAATTAGCAACAAAAAATAATCAAATTTAAGACATACATATGTATGAAATCCTCACATACATGAGAGTCAGAGACTCCAAATGCAGAAGAGGATCAGAGATAGAAAGAAAACTAGAGTATATAAGATATTCTGAGCTAGGGATGATGTAAGGTGCCTTCAAAGTGCCCTTGCAAAGTGGTAAGAGGCTTAGTAAAAGGTGCTATTCCCAAAATGTACACTAGATGGCAGCAAAACGGAAAATATTTACTGGTGGCCTCAATGTTATCCGAAAGATGCACACTAGCTGGCCGTATGCATCAGTGTTGAAAGGGAACCCATTCTGAGTAGAGGGTCCACTCACATTAGCTCTGGGTCATATTCATGTTGGGAAAATTATTTAAAGTCCTATAACATGAGTTCAGTTCTGGGTCCTGTGTCTGGACAGAGGTCCCTCTCTGAGACAATAGTGGTTCCTATCAAACCAGCTCTTGGTCTGGTTAGTTTGGTAAAAGTCCCACCTGAGAGAATAGTGGATCCTGTCACATGAGCTTTGGATCCTGTTACTATGGAAAGGAGTCCCACCTGAGAGAGTAGTAGGTCCTGCCACATACACTTTGGGACCTACTGTTATGGGCATATGAGACATTCTGAGGTAGGGATGATATAAGGCGCTTTGAGGAATTCATAGGGTCCTTGCAAAATGATAAGAACAGATGATTAGTGAATAAGCATCTAGTCCCAAGATGACAACAGGGAAGAGCACTTCCTGACAGTGTGCATCTGAGTATATGGAGCTCTTCCCTCCTGCCACATCAGGTCTGGATTCTCTAAGTGTTGGGAGGGGTCCTCCCTGAAAGTAGGGAGTCCTGTCATGTCAGCTCTGAGCCCTGTGAGTGTGGGGTGAGTTCCCTCATGAAAGAGTTGGGGGATGCTTACACATCAGCCCTGGGTCTATTTAGTGTGGAACGTTGAGCCACTTGAGAGTATGGGGTCCTCAGACATCATCTCTGGATCCTGTGAGTGTGGGGAGGAGTCCAACCTGAAAGGGTTGGGGAATCTCGTGACATTAACCCTGAGTTCTGTAAGTGTGGAGAGGGGTCTCACTCTGTAAAAGTTGTGTGTCCTGTCACATGAGCTCTGTATCCTGTGAGTGTGAGGAAAGTCTGTCCCTGAGATTTGGGGATCATGTCACATCACCTCTGGTTCCTGTGAGTGAGGGGCAGGGTCTTTTCCTGAGATAGCAAGAAGTCCAGTCACATCAGCTCTGGGTCTGGTGAGTGAGGAAATTAGGTCCTTTTCTGAAAGAGTTGGGAGTCATGTCACATAAGCTCTGGGTCCTATGATAGTGGACTGGGGTCATACCCAAGACAGTAGGGGATCTGATTACTTCACAAATAATTTTTACAACTATTAAAAAAAAATGATTAGAGGGAAGAAATCACATAAGAGTGTTTTATGGAATACAAATAGAAATTAAGATGTTATCTAATGGTTTCCTTCAAGGGCACAAAGTTGTCATAAGATGTCCCTGAGAAGTGATTTACTAACTTCCTATGAAAACTCTAGAAAGGGAAAAGAGAGGCCGGCAGGAGATAGAAAATTAAATAAACCAAAAACATAGAGACAAAATCTCTTTTGTCTAGAGAAATATTGGTAAATATTTTGAAATGTTATTCAGGAAAATCTTAGTGATTATAACACAGTTTGTCCACTGCATTTATGAGTGTTAACATAAGAAACATTCAAACCTGTGAAGAATTTTTCTGAGTTTATTTGAGCTAAAGTGTTGACAATTGTTGGGAAGCAGAATCTCAACGGATTGAGATAATGCTCCAGAGAATGGCAGTTTTGCACCTTGTTTTATACATTACAATAAAAAAAGGAGATGTAAGTGGATTACATGAAATCCACTGGTGATAGATTAGAGAGGTGGGAAAAGCAAATCAGGGAAACCTCTGTGATTGGATAAAAAGTAAAATGATAGACACATACTCCTTTTACTTAGGCGAGCACAGGATAGTAACAGTCAACAACTAACTCAATAATAATGAGAAGATTTGTGGTCAACGCAGAGTGGTGCCTGTGTTTTGAGGGGTTCAGAAAAAGGAAAATTACTTTGACATTCCAAAAATATGTACCTGTAGATGCAAAAAGGCAGTAGGCTCACTTAAGGTAAAGACTGACAGACTGACCTTTGTCAGGGAAGATACCAGCCTAGGATATGAGTATCCACCATAAATGGCTTTTTAATTTTAAAGTTTAAATTTCAGAACAACATTTGTAGTTACTTTAGGTCTCTGAGTTTGCAAGGCTTCCACACAGTCAGGTTAGCATGTGGCCCCTTTTTGTCCAAATAGGTAAAGTACTATTCTGGGAATAGGGAAGGGAACAGGGTTACAGACAGAAAAAAACAGGCTTGTGTTCAAGGAATTTATAATCCAATGGCAATGTATAATTGGCAATGTATAATTGCCAATGAAGTGACACAAAGGTGCACACAATATTTACAAGCTCCAGACTTCCATATCTTTACTGCTCATCTGAGAGCCAACAGTATTTGGATGTCTCATAAACATCTCAAGTCTTAATAGGTAAAATACCTGAATTCTTGGTTTCCTCTCAAACCTCTTGTAATTTTCTCCATTTCAGTAAATGGCACTACTCTCCATCAGTAACTCTGGCCAGATATCTAGGAGTCATCTGTTTGCCACAAGTCACACAATATACCCATAGGTTAAATGCTTGAGTCTATTTCCTTATCTAAAAACCTTCATTCACTTCTCCCTTCCCCCAGTCCAATCCCACCTTAAGCTGCCACCACCTTAATGTAAACAACCATTATCTCCTACTTTTGTGGCTCCATTCACAACCTAAGTGGTCTGATCCCTGCCAATCTCTCCAGACTCATCTCATACAACTGTTCTTTCTGAATATATATATTCCAGCAACATTGGTCTTTTCTTAGGTTCTTGAACACAAAGAAGCCAGACTCTTTTTGGCCTCAGGGCCATTGTACAATCTATTCACTCTGGAATGTTCTTCCTTTCCAGCTCAATGTCTAAATTTTTCTCATTTCATAGGCCTCAATTTAAGTGTCAACTTCTCAGAGGCCTTCTGAAACCAATCTGATTCAGATGGGCTACGTTGTTATTCCTCTAACGTCCATCTATAGAAGATTTAAGTTCTATTAGGGCGGGAATCTATCTTGTTAACCGCTGTAATCCCAGTACCTCCCAGTTCTTGGCACATAGGAGAGAATCACTTAAAACATTCTCAGCAGAATGAATAACTACCTGGAGGTGAGGGAGATGGTGCATTTGAAGAACTCAAAAAGACATTCGGTATGGTTGGAACCTAGGGCTAGAGTGGTGAAAAACAAAGCAGGAGAGGTTGGCAAAGGCCCGACAAGAAAAGTCTGGTGACCCATGTTAAGGAGTTTAGATTTACATCTGAGGGAAGATCGGAGCGACAGAAAGGCTTTATTTCTTTATTTATTTTTAATTTTTATTTTATTTTATTGATTATGGTATCAAATAATTGTCCTTACCCCCCCCCCATTCCCATCCCAAACTCCTCCCTACATATGCCCCCACCTCCCTGTTGTCCATGGCCACTGGCTAGGCCCATATGAATGCACACAAGTCCTTTGGTTGATCTCTTCCCTTTACCCCAACCCTCCCCTACTTTCCCTCTGATGTTTGAGAGTCTGATCGCTGCTTCTCTTTCTTTGGGTCTGTTTTTGTTCATCAGTTTATGTTGTTCATTATTTCCTCTAGATGTGTGAGATCATGTGATCCAAGAAATACTCTTATAAGAACCTAAACTGCGACAAGCCATAATGGTTATGCTGAGAGGCAAATGAATCAGTCTGTAGAAGACAGAAGAAACACAATTCAGAGATGGAAGATGCTGACGACGCCTCACCATACCAGCAGACGGAAAGGTTTTAAATGGGGAGTGCCGGGACCAGACCTGAGCTTTACCAGCCTGGCAATGTGGAGCCTGGCTTGGAAGGAAACAAGACTGAAAGAAGGAGAACCAGCTGGGAGGCTCCTGTCACAGTGACTGGCTACATGTGAGCGATAGGAAGGAATCTAGAAAACGTGCACGTTTCTGGTCTGGTCCCACCGCTCAGTTACTTACGTTTCCCTCTGGGCCACCACGGCAGATTGGAAAAGACGCCTTTGCAGCACGAATTACTTTCCGCGCAGCAGCCGGCTGTGTCAGTCTCTCCGAGCACCTCCAACGCCGCGGCGTCCCATTGTCCTTTCTGTATTTCCAGTTCCAGATGCTGATCCGGGTCCAGCTCGGTAGCTCAGTAAGTAAATGCTCAGTAAACGATGGCGAGAGCTCGGTCTAAAGTGAAAAGGGCCGCTCTTTTAAAGAAGAGGCTACCTCCTGGAACAACAACAAAGAACGCTCTGAGTCTCATTCATAACGTTCAGGGGGTTCGTTAGGAGTTTCGGGGTCTCCCCTTTCCAGAAAACCCCTCCCGCAGCCACTCACCGCAGGCCGAGGACCGGGACCCGGAACCTGCCCGGGCAACACTCCCACCGGCAGGCAGAGCCGGCTCCAATCGAACCTCCCGCGCCCCGCTTCCGCCGGAAGTGACGCTCCCGCCGTGGCTCCTGAGAGCCAATCAGAAGGCGGCGCCGCCGAGGGTGGAGACGAACCAGGATATGCTGTGAACGTTTGGGAGCGACTATTTTCGTCCAACTGGGAGTGGAGGCAGGTTTGACGAGTGTTTCCCCGGCCGGCGGGGCAGTGGTTCTGCCTGTGAAGGGGGCGTGGGCGCGGCGGGGCCCTCTGGGCCGGGGGATTGCCGCGGGGGAGGAGGGCGGGAGGAGGGAGAAGGGGCGGAGCCGCCCCTCGGACTGGGCTTCGGCTTGGCGGCTGCCGCTGGGTGAAGGCTGGGCGGAGAAGGGGTTGGTGGAGCCCCGAAGTCCGAAGGGGTCTGTGCCCGAGGGGATGGCACAGCCCGAGGCTGGGGACCGAAACGGGTGGCAGCGGGAGGCGGGAGAGGGCCATACACGGAAGAAGGGACCAGGACCCAGCGGGATTCGGGGGCTCTGTGGGCCCCCGGCGACCTCTCCGAAGGGGTGGGTGGTGTGGGCTGCGCGGGGGTTCGGGTTGACCCCCCGAGAGGGCCCCGCGGGAGGTGGTTGGACTGACTGACTGGAGGTGGCGTCGGGGAGCCCGGCGGAGCGGTCTGAGAAGCCCGGCTCCACTTCGGAGGGACCCAGGGCAAGCCCCGCACCTGCCTGAACCCGTTTGTATAAATGGGATCAACAGTCAACAGATCAGTACGCACGCAAAGATTTCCATGATGGTTGAGTTAGAGGAGATGGTGTGTGTGTGTGCTTCTTGCCCAGTTGACACAGTGACAGTTAGTGAACGATCCTCAGCAACCTGCACTTGTCCACCAGCTTTACATCACGCCCCTCTATAGTCACGAAGTACTCGATTCACTACGTCGAACAGTCACGGTAGCTGTTAGTATTATCGGATTTAGGGAGGGCAAGCGGTGTGGCAATGGCAGTAAGACGGACAGGGTAGGAGGTGACGATAAGGCGAGAATGTAGGGTGAGCAGTTGGAAAAGGGGCGATTTAGTCAGGTAGTTTGGGACCCTTGGGAGATGAGAACAGGTTTGTAGTGTCCCCGAAAGGAGAGAGGAGGTGGCACGAGAAGGAAATGAAATGTGTGGCGCCTTCGGGGCGGGGGCGGTGTGACCCGGGTTGGCCGGGTTGGCCGGGTTGCAGAGGGGCCGGGCGACTTTGGGTTTCCCGGGGGAGGAGCCGATTGGTGGCGGGCGGAGCGGCGGGCTGGGCTTCGCTCTGGCTACGCGCATTAGCTGGTCCACGTCCCGCCCGCACTGCAGCCTCCAGCCCGAGCCATGGGGCGCCTCGTCCAGCTTCTACTCCTGGCTTTCCTGATGCCTGGGCTCGCCATCCTTTTGCCGCCAAGACTAAAGGCCCTCAGCAACCTGCACTTGTCCACCAGCTTTACATCACGCTCCTCTATAGTCATGAAGTACTCGATTCACTACATGGAACAGAAGGTAAGGCTGGGTAAGGGGCCATGAAAGGATTGGGGCTTCCCGGTGGTCTCCCGCCCAACCGACGAGACCCCAGGCACCGGACGGTGCCCACCCATTGGGGGAATTTCGGGGCCCCCAATGCCTATGACTTGTCCCATCTCCGGATCACGTTTTCTATAGGGTGGCCCTAAGCCCAGTTCTGTTTAAAATCTCTCCTCCCTTTACCAGTAATTTACTCTCAGCCCTAGCTCCATACTCTTCTGTAATTGACCACGACAGTCACTTCGAGTCCTTCTCTCTGAGGATGCTCTCATTCAAATTTCCTTGAATCCCACCAAATCCAACTTATTTAATGACAACTCTGCTCCCTCTTCCGCTGTAGCAGTCAACCTTGATCACAAAGTTGTCCTTAGAAATACATTTCCAATATCTTATTCGATGATCCTATGTAATAAAGAGCTAATATGCTAATTAGACCGAACAACAGAACAACCTCTGGACGATCCTTTAGGACCACTGTCCTGACAACTTTCTGGAGAAAGCCAGGGCTGCTAGGGAGTTTTGTGCATAGGGCCTCTAGTCTCTAATATTTAACCTAAAACGCCAGCTTGTCATTGTATGCTCAGCTCAAAGTTGATTTTGTAGTCCTTTTATTAAGAGTTTTTAATCTTCCTCATTCTCCATACTGAACATATTTGTAGTCCCTGCCTCTTCTTTCAAAATCTTGGAATATTGATCTCGGAGGGTTATTTCATTTCTTTTACTCAAAATAAGTGAATCAGGAGAGCAGACAGAGAATAGTTCATCACTCGGGCACATCAAGGCTCTTGGGTACATGTGTATCCTTGGGATGTGTGGCTTGTGGTTACAAGGTTTTCCTGCTTCTCACTACCCTCTACCTCCCACACTAGCCCCTCAGACTGGAATGTGAGTCCTGAGGGCATTTTACTGTGTGATATTGTGGGGAAGGAAAATGGGTCCACCTTGTAGGCATGGCTCAGTGGTTGAACCAGGAGGTCACTGTTGGATTCCTGGTCAGGGCATGTGGGTGGATTCCAAGTAGGGATTGTGCAGGAGGCAGCTAATTAATGATTCTGTCATTATTGATGTTTCTATCTCTTCCTTACCTTTCTCTGCAATCAATAAAAATATATTTTAAAAAAAGAGAGAGAATGGGTTCTATTAGGCTGTCATTTTCATGAGTGATGACAAAAGAGCAATATCTATTAATCAGGGTTCTCTAGAGCAGTGTTTCCCAACCTTCTCTCATGATGAGAATCACCTGGTGGAGTTGTTAAAACACAGATTCCTGAATCCCAGCTAAGAAGTGCTAAACTAGAATTTTTGAGAACATATAGGTAAAATTGCATACCTAACTTAGTGCTCTGTATATAAAATCTGTCTTAGAGCACTAGTTAAGTATACAATTTTACCTATATGTTCCCAAAAATTCTAGTTTAGCACTTCTTAGCTGGGATTCAGGAATCTGTGTTTTAACAACTCCACCAGGTGATTCTCATCATGAGAGAAGGTTGGGAAACACTGCTCTAGAGAAACAACTGAGAGAGAGGGAGGGAGGGAGGGAGGGAGGGAGGGAGAGAGAGAGAGAGAGAGAGAGAGAGAGAGAGAGAGAGAGAGAGAGAGAGAGAGACACTCCACAAAGAGAGATTGATTATTTTAAGCAAATGGCTCATATGATTGTGGAGGTTTGGAAAGTCCAAAATTTTCAGGGAGAGCCGAGGAAGAGTTGCAGTTTGAGTCCAAAGGAAGTATGCTTGCAGACTTCCTTCTTGCTCAGGGTAGGTCAGTCTTTTGTGATATTTAGGCTTTTACATGATTGAATGAATCCCACCTATATCATGAAGGGTAAATCTGCTTTACTTAAAAATCTGATTTTCTGATTGAAATGTTAATTCTAACCAAAAAACACTTTCATAGAAACATTCAGAATAATGTTTGACACTGTGGCCCAGCCAAGTTGACATGTAAAATTAACCATCACATCTACCAAGGTTGTTGTGAGACTTAACACATGAAAGCATATGCACAGTGCCTGGAACCTTGGTAGGAACTTAAGGAACTTAATAGAGTAATGCTGGCTCCTCACCCATCCTGTCCTAAAAGTACACTCTCCATAGTATTACACATTTCAGATTGATCCAAATGCATGCCAGTTGTGGAAATACCTATTCTAGAAACCTAGTGGTTAGTCACCTATACTCAACTGTTACTCTTTAATTACTGACCCGTATTTATGTTAGAACGCTGCAACTTAGCCCAACATTAAGCTCATGGCCACTTGTAGGCCTCTCCACAGCTTCCTCCTTGTCTGCTGTGAGGCCATAACAGTGGGCTTGATACAGTTCTCCTTTCAATTTCTATTATAGTTCCCCTTTCCTACTCTTGTGTCAGTGGCAGAGATGGTTAGTAAAATGTATCTATGTCAGGCCCCTTGGAAAAGCCTATTGCTCTTGTCTTCTTATCCCCCTCCCCCCTCGTTTCTTGTCTTATTATTGGTTTATCTATTGATTGCCTTCTCTTTAGACCTAGAGCAATGGTCGGCAAAACTCATTAGTCAACAGAGCCAAAAATCAACAGTACAACGATTGAAATTTCTTTTGTGAGCCAAATTTTTTAAACTTAAACTGATTCTAATGCCACTTCTTCAAAATAGACTCGCCCAGGCCGTGGTATTTTGTGGAAGAGCCACACTAAAGGGGCCAAAGAGCTGGATGTGGCTTTCGAGCCGTGGTTTGCCGACTACTGACCTAGAGTATAGTGTCACAGATATTATGTGAATTCTGAACTGATTTCTGTTTTTGCTCACAGAATCATTGTCAGAAAGGGTCATAGAAATCATGTAGTCCACCCCTTAGAAATGACGAATTAACCTTGATTTAAATTACGGAGGGTCAGGATTTGATAGAACTTGAATACCATATGGGTTTGAGAATGAATTCTGTTTTTACCACTACCTGAATAACTTTAGATAAATTACTCTGAGCTTCCATTTTTATAATCAGCAAAATGGAGATAATTATATTACCCATTCTACCCATTTGTTGTGAAATGAGCTGATATGTGTAAAGTACTTATTTAGCACAGTTTATATCATTTAATAAACACTCAATGAATGGTAAATATTATTTTATCTCATAGTTTTTTGCTTTTTTTGTTTTTTGTTTTGAGAGAGTGAGTGAGATAGAGTTTTGTTGTTCCACTTATTTATGCATTCATTGGTTGATTCCAAGATCAAACCCACAACCTTGGCATATCGGGACAATGCTCTAACCAACTGAGCTACCCAGCCAGGACCTATCTTGTAGTTTCTTAATGTACATGGCTTTAACTTATTCCCTCTCCACTCAGAATAAAATACTTAAGTCATCCCTTTTCATGATCTAAAATAATTACTACTCTGAAAAATATGAAAATCTATGTGAATTCTTTTATATTACAAATATAGTACATACCAGGGGGTTATAACTTAGTACACTTGTAAATAAGGCATGGAAATTGACTTGTTTCCTTGTTTAAAATAATTTTCTTCCTCACAAGACTGATACATAAAGGCATATGAAACTATTTTTTTTCTATGTTATTTTGAATTTAGTAAATTATAGGGTAGAAAATATGATAATGTATCCTTTTAAGTTTTTGAAGGTACTTTTTCACATTGTCTTTCTGATATCTGAATTTTGAATATTTTACCAGTTAGTGCTAAAATGCACTTTCAGTAAAAATTAATTTTAGGTTTTGCATTATTATGTTTATATCTGTTGGCATATTCTAGGGACTTCGTGCTTTAGGCACTTAAAGCAGTTTCAAAGTTTGGGTTCTGGTATCAGCTCATGTTATGATCTTGGGCAAGTTGCTTAACTCTAGATCTCACTATACTAACATACAAGGAAAGAGGAATGGATTGCCTGATCTCTGATGCCTGTAATTCTGTTCATTGTGGGCCTCTGTAGGGGACTGTATTAGGAGTGGTAGGGATGTGGGCACAAGTCTATTTTTTGCCCTATTATTGATTGCATTTGGTAAATCAGACATAAACAAAAATTTCCATCTCAATATTGAATAAAATCCAGACTCATATAATGTTAAGTGTTTGTTTTTTGTTTTTGTTTTTTTAAATTAACTCTGCCAATGACAATATTTATAACTCAGAACATGTATTTTTGTTTATGATTTTAAAGTTTGCTTGTTTATGAGTGAATTAGAGAAGAAAGAAAATTGTAGGTAAGAAGAATCACTGAAGCTGAAACCGGTTTGGCTCAGTGGATAGAGCATCAGCCTGCAGACTGAAGGGTCCCAGGTGCGATTCTGGTCAAGGGCATGTACCTTGGTTGCGGGCACATCTACAGTAGGGAGTATGCAGGAGGCAGCTGATCGATGTTTCTCTCTCATTGATGTTTCTAGCTCTCTATCCTTCTCCCTTCCTCTCTGTAAAAAAATCAATAAAATATATTTTTAAAAAAAGAATCACTGATGATATGTCTTATCTTACTTGTCTTCATTCCTAATGTTTTGCATAGTGCCCTTTATATATTAATTCTTAATAAAGATTTTTTTTTGAATTAAAATGAATAAGGAGTAAGAGGTGGAAGAGTAAAGTAAAATATGCAGTACATAAATATCTAATGCATTAATAATAATATGCTACCATTTATTGAAAGCTTTATATGTCCTAAGTATTCTGCTAAATACTTAATAGATATTCACTTAATTAATGAAGTAGATATTATTGCTCTATGAAGTAGATATTATTGCCCTATTTTGTAGGTGAGAGCTATCATATAGAGATTAATTTACATGTTCATGATAAATTGCTAAACTGTACAGTTTTTTTTTAAAATAAACTCCCACAAATTTCTAGTTCTAAAATAAATACCATTACCTCGGTTATTGCACGAGTCAGAATAGGCTAGGTTATATTCCTATAACAAAACTCCAAAATTTTTACGACTTACCCAAACAGAAATTTGATTCATACTGTATTTTCATTGGGATGGGCAGAG